ACTGTCAAAAATTTACATTTTTCTGGAATAACAAAGAATACCAGATCCCTATGACTTGTTGGGAAAAATCACAGTTTGATCATTTTTAACAACCCGTCGATATTATCAAAAACCCCTCCGATGAAGAATATGAAGATGAGAAATTAATAGCTCAATGACATTATATGATATTGGAAGACCACAATGATTCTGTCCCTTTGGCCGAAAGTAGTCCAAAACAAACTCTAGTAGATGGACAGAAATATTCACTTCAGTACTTTGAAAGTTTGAATCAAAAATTCAATGTCCAACCACCCAAGGATGTGAAGTGGGAATATCATTGGCAAGGACTGGGAAATCGATGTTGGTGCCATAATAAATTAGACAAAATTGATGAAACTTGCCAACTTTGTAAAAAAGAATGGGACCACTGGCAACTACTATGAAATATTTCAGACGAACCAACCGCTAGTGGAATAACCTATAAACATCTTGGTGAATTCCAACAGCAACAAATTATGCAGTTTTTGCATAAACATAGGGATGCATTTGCTGAAGACTTATTACAGTTAGGGCATACAACCATCGAAAAACATCATATACCAGTAGAAAATCCAATGTCTATACGACAACGTGCATACAGGGTAGCCCCATTAGAACAAGAATTTATTAAGAAAGAAGTTGATAGAATGTTAAAATACAATTTAATACAACCATCTGAAAGTCCTTGGGCCTCGCCTGTTGTTCTCGTTCAGAAGAAAAATGGAAAATTACGATTTTGTGTTGATTACCAGAAACTTAACAGTGTCACTCAACGAGATGGACATCCCTTATTACGAATCGACGAGTTGCTTGATATGTTTAGGAAAGCTAAATATTTTTCAACATTAGATTTGGCTAGTGGATATTAGCAGGTCGCTATGGATCCAAATAACCAGGCTAAAACAGCTTTCATAATTAGTTAAGGACTTTATGAATTCAAAGTAATGCCATTTGGATTAACAAATGCCCCTGCAACTTTTCAACGTCTGATGAATAAGATCTTTAGAGAAGAAATTGGATAGTTCGTAGCTATATATCTGGACGACATTATTATCTTTTCTGATACTTTTGACACGCATTTACAACACTTGCAACTTATTTTTAAACGATTAAAGGATGCTGGACTCAAACTTGAAAAAGATAAATGTGAGTTCGCAAAATTAGAATTGGCATTCCTAGGACACATAGTGAGTAGACAAGGAATCTCACCAGATCCTTCAAAAATTGATAAAATTAAGAATTTTCCAATCCCAAAGAATATCACTGAATTAAGAGGATTCTTAGGACTAACATCGTATTATAGGAGATTTATTCAGGACTTCTCGACATCTGCTGCACCATTACATTTATTATTATGAAAAGAAACACCTTATGTGTGGACGGAAGCACAACAAAAAGCTTTTGAGCATCTAAAAATATGCTTGATAACTGCATTGATTTTGATTTATCCTGATTTTAAACGAAAGTTTTTACTCTTTACTGATGGCTTGTATATCGATCTTGGCACAGTATTAGCACAACTAGATGATAACAATAAAGAACATGTCATAGCCTATGCCAGTCGAAGTATAAGTCAAGCTGAAAGAAATTATACTCCAACGGAATTGGAATGTCTTGCTGCTGTATGGGAAATGAAACATTTCTGACCTTATCTTTTACATCAGCAATTTGAATTGATTACTGATCACGCAGCCTTACAATGACTTTTTAATAAACCAGATCCCCCTCATAAATTCATGAGATGGATCATTCGCATTATGGAATTTCCATATCAAATCCGATACAAAAAAGGAAAATTACATTCAAACACTGACGCACTGTCTCGACTTCCCCCACAATAATCTACAACTATTCTAAACAAATTTGAGAGTGAAAGCGAAAGTGTTAGCAGTGTGACTAACAGCTCTACAATATGGAATCTGAAACCTACCATCAACTGTACCAATACCTAACTCAACTTACATACCCCTCAAACCTCACCCCTTTACAATAACATATTGTTCAGAAACAAGCTCAACATTATTTTATGCAAAACTAACAACTTTATAGACGAAATCAAAAGCAACCGACCCAACCCTTACTCGTAATCAAAACTACTGAAGTTGAAAGCATTCTACACAATATCTATAATGAGCCTTTAGGAAGACATTTAGCACGTGACATCACTTATAACAAAATTGCCTCTCGATATTACTGGCCTAGCATGTATAAAACAATCAATAATTGGATATGAACATGTGACGTATGTCAACGACAAGGAAGATCAAAATCCAAAGAACCATTACATCCTATACCTGTTAGCCAACCATTCAATCATATTGGAGTAGACTATGTAGGACCACTCCCACGTACAATAAAAGGAAATAGGTATATTATTGTAGCAACTGAGTATTTGACAAAATGGGTCGAAGCTAATGCAATACCAGATTGTACCGTCCAGACGACTGCACAATTTATTTACAATGAAATCATATGTCGACATAGAATGCCAAAAGAGATCTTAACTGACTGAGCTACGTCATTTCAAAATGAATTAGTCACTGCTTTGTTACATGTAGTAGGAACTAAACATAGATTATCTTCATCATACCACCCTCAAACTAATGGCCTCACTGAACGTTTTAATAGAACTTTATGTACAATTTTAGCCAAATATGCTGAACAACATCAAGGAGAATGGGATACTTATTTAACCTCAGCATTATTCGCATATCGAACTGCACAGCAGGGAACGACAAAATTCGAACCATTTGAGTTATTATATGGATGAAAAGCAGTTTTACCGATAGATTTACAATTACGACAACCGTCACCTATCACAAACTTATCAAATGCTATGGAAAAGCATCAACAGATAATCTCATCACAATTGCAACAACAACAATTAGATGCACAACAAAATATTATGCAACGATAACAAAACTAACAAGAACGTTACAATAAGGATCAACCTGGAATTTCTTACCAAATTGGAGATAAAGTTTATTATTTAATGTCATACAGTCGCACATTTATGGAGACAAATTTAAAGATAAATTCAATGGACCTTTCTATATACACGACATTGTGAGACCTGGAACTTATAAACTTCGTACTATAGATGGACGAGTTAGAAAGAATTTTATACATGCAGATCTTTTAAAACTATATTTGAAGCGAATTGATTGGGAACCACAGATTATCATCAAATAATGATCAACATTAGAACTATTATAAAAAGAAGTGGACTATTTGGTTAAAAATAATAACTATAATGAAACCTACGAACTTAGAAATAGTTTCAAAAGAAATTCAAATTTCTGTAACTTCTCTTGAAGATGAAATCCAACCAATGAAACCACCATACTCAGCTGACACATCCTTAGCTCAGAAAGTGCAATCGACTTATCGCACTCTACTTTGTTCTACTCATATGAGGAACCATATTTTATCTTTGGTTAATGCATTTTATTTAGGCCAGCTTATTGACGATATGACCATTTTACCAGCTCAACGGACGTTACAAATGGCAATGATAATTAAATATTATTATCAAACTGCTGTTTGAGTTTATTATCTTTTTGAAAACTTAGGAGTCTAACAAATATTCGATACTCAATATTTAACCTTGACTATGATTCGACAATTAAAGTCTAGCGAATACCAAGCTCTTGTACTAAAAACTCTTAATATTTCTGCAGGAGCAGAAATCTTAAGTGAAGAGTAATGTGAATGGATAAATGTGACGCAGCTCATATGGCGCAGAAGATTGACCGATTTAACATAATTGACATATATGATATGTCAGACATATTTGACATATTTGACATAGTTGACATATTGACATAGTTAACATAGTTGATATAGTTGATATATTAGACATGTTAGTTATATTTTTCTATGTATTTTATTTCATATAAATAAGTAGCTTTTTAATTCATGTAAAGAGGCAGAATTAAATTCGATAAGATAATTTTAGTAGTTTTAGAGGCAACTGGCCTACCACGTCACCTTTTAGCTTTAGTATTTCGTTTCTTTTCTTTCTTATTTTTCTTCTTTATTTCTTTTACTTTTTTTTTCTTTATCTTTATTATTATTTTACTTGAAAATAAACATATTATTTATAACATAATTTACTGGAAATCTGTTGAATCGTAACTCGTTTTGATAATATAAATACTTTGGTAAATCATCTGAGTTAAAGCTTGTAAACTATTAAAAGATTACTGCTCAATCAAAAAGAATAAACTGCTTGAACACCCTGTCTAACAGTCATAGTTCACAAGAATTACACGTTAATAGTATTTATTTTTTTATTTAATTTATTTATTATTTAATTTATATTATATTTATTAATTATATTTATTTATTAATTAATTTTTAGAATTTAGCAAATAAAATTGAAGAACAAGATGCGGATGATCTTTATAATTTTCCTGATGAGTATCTTACATATATTTCAAATAATAATTGATGGAAGGATCTTAAGCAACTAGAAATGATTAGGCTTCTTTATTGTGCTGCATTAAATTAGCTACAATGTCATAATTCCCGATTGTATAAAGTGCTTTATAGTTTTGGAAATATAGTTACAGTTTTACGATCTCTTACTAATAATAATTTGAGTAAAAGGCTTTGAAAAAGATTAGAAAAAAGATGGGCTGATTGGAAACAACCACTATTACTTTTATCATTTTTACTTTATCCTAAATATTGTACAGACAAGTTTAATCCTGCTATTGAAAATCTTTCTTTTCCTCATCTTAGTCAGTGGGTTACTTATTATTACTGTGCCTGGTTTAATAAAGAACCAACAACACTATTGGTTGAATTAGAAGCATATAGAAAAAAAAAGTATCCATATAATGATGCTACTGTATGTCAATTTAATCAAGATATTTTAGGATTTTGAAATTATATACATAGATATTCAAAAGAACTTTATCATGTAGCAGAATAAATTTTTTCAATTGCAATAAAAACAGTATTTTTAGAAAGGCATTTTTCTACAATAGGATGGATGCATTCAAAACGATGAAATCGATTAGGAGTAAGAATTTTTTTATTTTTATTTTTATAGATTAATAAATAATATATTAACAATTTATAATTTAATATTAGTCTGAAAAGGCACTTGATAAGACACAAATACGAGCTTTTATATAGCAAAAATTAAAATTTAAAAAAATAGATGAGAAGGCACGTAAGTTTAAAACTACAAATATAGCATTACCTATATTAACTGATATTAATGATGATATTGAATATAATACACCTAATGTATCAGAGGATGAATTATCTGATAAGAAAAATAATGATGGTAATGTACAAACAGTGAGAGATTGGCAAACTATAGTTTCAAGATGGATAAATATGTTAGAAAATGATACAGATTCAGAAGAATTAGAAGATACTGATATTGATTATGAAGATGATGAGGATGATATTTCTATAACTAATATTTTTAATTTACCTCATCCTGCTATAGATAAAAATGCTAAATGGAAATTTCAAGATATTTTTATTGAAAATTTAGGAATACCTGACTATTTGGCGAATTTTATTAATAGTAATAGTTAGTTAATATTGATTAATGGTTTAATGCATAGTATAAATACAGTAATATGTGTCTTATTATTATAATATATAATAAATTTATAAATTTATAACATAAAAGTAAATTTATCATTAAATTAATAAAATATTATTAAATGGAATTAAGTATAAGTCCAATATTCCAATAAAATTTAAAATTGAATTAGACAAAGTCCAATAGTTCAATAATCCAATTATCCAATTGTCTAATAGTCTAAAAGGCCATCATTAATGCTAATTGAAATTTGCTATTATTCTTCATTTTAATTGATAATCATAAATTTGTTTTATAATAGAATAATCATTCCAATTTTTTGGAAAATATGTAGGTAATTTTACTTTATACTGATGAATGAGAGTTTGGACGAAAGAATTTTCAAAGCCAATTAGTATATTTCTGTTATATTTTTTTATTAGCTCTGATTTTTCCCATATAGCAATTGGTGATTTTCCTTCAAATTTTTTTTCAATTGGTTATCTTGATAAATTTCAAGAATGCATTTATCTTCTTTAATTTTAGATATATAAATTGCCTATTTATTGCCATTAAATTTGTATATTAAAGATGATTTGTATCCAGAACTAGTGTTAAGTAAATCTACTTGAGAAGAAACTCCTATCTCATATATAAATATTTTCAGTAATTCAATAATAATCAAATAGGAACAAATAAAAAATCTTCTAAAAGTCTATAAATTATATCTTCATCTTGCCATTCTAATACCAAAGAACTAGAAAATCACGTTCTATTTTCAAAAATTTGTGTATATACCAAAGATATAGCTTTAGAAGGATCATTTTCTATTTGACCAATATATATATCACTTTAACACTACCCAGGTAAAAAATATTATTTTTATTACCAATAACAATAGTTACAAAAAAATTGCAATTATTAAGACAGGTTTTAGTTTTTTAACCAATATGAAGAGGAAAAAAAGTCATACTTTCTTTATCTGTTGACGTTTTCTACCAAAAATGTGAATATGATCTATAGTGAAATTCTTCAACTATGAAACTAATATTAGTCGCGCATATTAGATTTAGAAAAGCTATGTATATTTAATAATACTTATCCCTGAATTTCATTATAATATAATAGTCATATAGTTCTGATCTTATCCGAATCATCAATTAAAAAATATAAATATGTTAATATTATATTATTATTTTAAATAAATAATTAGTTTTACCTAAATATTATAATTACTTCTTTTATAGTCTCTTCTTCATCTTTAAAAATATCATAAAATTCTTTATATACAATATTTTTTGTTAACTCAGTTGTAAATTGTAAATTTTTAAATCATGGATCTAATATATAGACTATCATAGCAACAATTTCAGTAGTTTTCTAATATTTTAATATACTCTTATATATTGTTTGTTGTTTCTTTAATATAATTTTTATTTTGAAAGTTTAAAGGCTTAGAAATATTTACTTAATTTTTATTTTTGCTATTTTTGTTAGAAATTTCAATAAAATTTTCATTATCTTTTATAACTTTTTTATATTTTCAAATAGACTAGTTTTATCATCATCATCCAATTCACTTTCTATTTTAGTAATTAAAGATTTATTATTTGGTTAAATTTCAGATATAAGTTGAGATATAGCAGAATATATAAGTAATATTGTAACATATTTAGATCTACTAAGCAATACTGTTGCTTCTTCAAATTCTTGTAATAAATTAATGAGATCACCTAATAGTTTTCATTCATCCTTTGTAAGTATTATTCATTGTAATTTTTGACCATCTTTTTTAGCATTTAAATTAAGATAAAATTGTAAAGATTGAGTAGAAAAATGATTGCACGTTTAAGCTTTAAAAACCTTTTTCAGGCATAAAATAAAGAATTCTAATAAGTAGAAACATCTTTAGTTATCAAAAAAATATTAGTATAATTAAGTTCTCTTTGTGCTGCATTTAATCTTTTTGATTGTTTAGGTAATATATGAAAAAAATCAATAAGCTGCTTAACTCATAAAATAAGTACACTAATAATATTTAATCTTTTACTAACTATCAATTGTAATGTATAGGCAATACATAGTAAGTGATTAATATTTTCTATTATTCAAGTAGCTTTTTAATATTTAGACCAATATTCAGTTGTTAATGCAATTATTATTTTAGTTAAATTCTATTTTTCAAAAATATCTATTAAAAGTTGTGATATAATTTCTCCAGTATGAGGATATAGAACCTGTTTTAGTTCTAAAAGTGCTTTCTTAAGTTCTAATCTATTGATATCTAAGAATATGTTACACTAATATATCCTTATTTTGCTCTGCTTATCTAAAAATCTATGGATATAGAGGCAGCAATACAATCACTTTTTAATAATTTATTAAGTTATATACAACTCTATATATAAGCTTTAACAATCATAATTTTAATTGTTTTATTACAAAGAACAATAAAATTCTTATTAAAAAAATATAGTAAATTACAAAAACTTTTGCAATTTAGAATATTAAATGCTTAATTATTATCCAAAATGAATTTTACTAATAATTGATGAGATCCTTCATATTCTTCTTTTTTAATCATTGATTTTTAATTGCATCTCATATATCTAATTAGTTTCAAGATTTTTTATTATCTATTTTTTTCTCATTTAGTTTATATATTTTATGAATTCGTGTAAGATGACTAATTAAATTTAATGTTGTAGAACTATTAATATAAGAAATGTCACATTTTTTACCATTATGTATAATAATAGTATATATAGATGTAATTAAGTTTTTTGAATGATGAAAGTAATGCCACACAAAACTACCTTCTTTTGATATTTCACTTTCAGGTATTGAACTTGTAGTAATAATAATATAACTTTTATTTTTTCATCTTTATTATATGTTTCTTCTTGTTTCTGTTATATTACTTTCTTCTTTATATTAGCTATTACTTTTGTTTGTCTTTTTACTTTTTTTGTTGATTTATTTTTATTAAAATGTTGTAATTTAAAAGGAAGTTGAAAGTAATTCAGTACCTGGATACTTTAATCTCTCTTGCTTCTCATATTTTTCTTAAGTTCTTTCATTTTCATTTAGAATATAAATATATTTATCATTATTAAAATTTCTAGAGAAACGCTTTCTATTTAAGTTTGAAGGTCCTGTGTGACTACTCATTATTCTTGAAAAAGTTAGAAAGATCAAAGATTCTTTATTATTTATCAAATGTTATTTTAATTAATTTTTAACTAGGATTTTCTGATTTTGTAAAACATTTATTCAATTGAAATTAATAAGGCTAGATTGCTAATGTAAAAAATTTTAATGTAATAATTCATTGATATTATTTTATTTCAGATAAACAAATTAAAGTTATACATAATAAATTGTTTGTGTTTAAATTAGTTAATTACTTTAGAATTTCTTAAGATAAATATAAATAAATAAAATTTCATTCTTTAATTTTAAACTATAAATATTAGATCAATTTTTCAGTTTGTATGCATAATAGCATCGAAATTTTGAAATGATCTGTGATCTACCTTTATTTTATTAATTACAATATGAAATTTGAACAAAAATACCTAATATTTATTTTTAATGTAAAAAAATAATTATTTTATAAATACATTTTATTTAATTATAAATTTATTTTTAAACTTTAAAGATTTGAGTTACTACACCTTTTCAATTAATTATTAAGAATTACTGCATAAATAATTTTATAAAATATTAATATCTTAAATACTTTTTATTGATTTATTTTATTTATTTAGATATTTATTTCTTATTTGGTTAAAAAAAATTAATTGTTTATTTTTTTGTATATCATTATATAATTAGTATATAGCAATCTTTATTTCTAAAATAATGCAAATAAAATAATAAAATAAAATAAATAAATAAATTGTTACTTGTTAGAAGGGAGGTGGGTAATATTTTATCTTAGATTTAGGATTTTAGATTCATCAATTTTAAATCCTAAATCTATAATTTAGAATCTAGAAAATAAATTTGCAAGCAAAGTTTTCTGTAGATTATAACTAAAAAAAAGGTATATATGGTAAGTGTTTTGATGATTATTTTGGCTGGGACATTATGGGTAATTTTATTTAAAAAATTTAAAATAAATGCTGAATCATTAAATTTAATAACATAACAGATTACCAAATCAGAAAATTTTAGCTAATGTTTTTACATTATGATAATATAATAAAAAATACAAATTTTTGCTAAAAAATAAATGTCTAATATATATATAAGATTAGTTTTAATCATAACTTATTGTGATTTATATTTAAATTAGAGTTGAATCATTTATTCCTGTAGGACATCATGCTATTTGTCCTTATTGAAAATAAGTTATATATTTTTGATGGAAGTGTTGTAATCCAAATATGTTAATATCTGAAATGTGCATTTCAGACAATGATCTAAATGAATATTTTGGATAATGTTTTAAATGCGCATTTTGGATAATGTCACTTCAGATATCCAAATGATAAATAAAGCTTTATCAAAATTGTAAATATTTGTATTGCATTTTATATCAGAAATTTTAACTTCAGATAATTTTTGTAGTCTTGAAGCCTCTAACAATAATGATATAATTATATTTTCACATGTAAAGATTTATAAAATTAAATTAAAACATGAAATAGTTATTTGGGACATACTGAAATGGTCACTCGGGACAGTCCGAAGGAAGTGGTCGCTTGATATATCCGAAGTGAGCATTTGGGATATTATCTGAAGTGTTCATTTGGGATTTTATCCGAAATGTTCATTTGGGATAAATGCGCATTTGAGGTAAGCGAATATCCCAACGATCTTCACATTTGGAATATCCAAATTGCGCATTTCGGACATTAACGCATTTGGGGTACAACAGAAGAAATAAAACGACTTGTACAAATGAAGTATTCTATCTTGATGTTCTTAACAATTTGATTATTTTCTAGCTGCTTTCGGTAAAGAGATTAGAACAAAGTAGCTTCTTTTTTTAAAATATCCATTTCTTTTTCCTTAATTTCTTTCCTTAAACTCAAGGGATCAAATTTTTTTGTTCTAGGTATTTCAATGTCTCCAATCCAAACCGGTTTATATTGTATTTTTATTGGCAAAGTCTTATGATAGAGGTAGGAACCGGTTTTATTTTCACAAAACGGTTTTAAAAACTTTTTTAATGTGAGACCCGGATTTAAACCGAATTTAAATAAAACCGATTAAACTGAGCATTCGGTTATAATAAACCTGAAAAACCAAGTTGCTATAAGTTTTATATAATGTTCATAAATTATTTTTCTTTGATTTATATTAATTTTTATTAACAGAAAAATATTAAGCTAATTAAATGTTTAAATGATAGATAAAAAATTGAGAAAATAATAAAATGATTACTATTTCTCTTTAATAATAAAACTTGATTTGTGTATGTTTACTAAAATATAATTAACCGCGTTTTAAACAATTTTCGGTAGGTACAAAAGTTGCTTGAATGGATAAATATTTGATGAGATAAAATATAAAACTGATTATGTTACATAGGACCACTTTAAAGGATCTTCTGTAATACCTATTTGCTGAAGTTCTAACCAATTTGAATGAAAATTCATTCGAATCGCACAAAAAAAATATGCAAATACATAATTGCACCCTAAAGTAAAAATATACATAAGAATTAAATCATCGAAATAATCCTCGAAAAATGCAATAATTTATTGATTTTTCATTATAGTAAAAGTTTAAAAAAATTTATAATAAAAAAAAAAATTATCTTTTAACGCCATTGTAAAGTTTGATTTTAATGCATAGACCAGGTTTAATGTGATCACCCGGTAAATATAACTAGGAAACGGAAACGGCTGCTGGTCCGGAGCGAAATATTTATTTACTTATTATTCTTGTGTATCTAGGTTAGAGTTGGATCAGCTGGAAAAATGTAATGAAAATAAATGTACACTCGTAATGCTTATCTCGCTTATTTTTTATTTATTTAATGATTTACTAATGTATCAATGTAACAAGGGCGTAACGCGGACAACAGAATACGCCACGTGATCTTGACTTTCGTAACTACTAAATGACGCAAAATTTATTTTTAAATGTTAAATAAACGGGTTTAAACAATTAAATTCGAATTTTCGCAATCAACCAGTTTTATTAAAACCGGATTTTGAATCTTTAAAAACCAGACCCGGTTTTATGTTGGAACCGGTTTAAACCGAATTTATCTCAAATTCTATCAAACCATTAGGTCATAAGATCGGCGTAAATGATTAACATAAATCTGCCAAATGGAGTAAATCTAAACGCTTTCTTTTTTTCTGCCTAGATTATGGCTTTCATTTTCACGACCTTATTGCAAGTTTTGGTGGAAGAAGTCGTTGAAGTTGCAGTTGTAGCAACAGCTGTGGCAGCTACAACAGTTGTTGCATTTAAAGCAATAGAAATCGGAGGAAGAACTATTAATTATCTTGTTGATGAATTTGCTACTCTCTCCGTTCCTACTTCTAATTCCACCAATACCTCTACTTACCTAGGAGAACGAACTATTCACGAATGGTGGCTTGATGGTATTACTAGTGAAGAAAGACAACTTCTTCTTAAAAAGGGATATAGTGATAAAACTGGTTGTTTCACTTTGGATAATTTGAAAAATATAATCTGCTACGCCAAAGCACCAGGCAAACCAACTGAAAAAAACGGCTATGAGAAACCTAAAAACTGGGATGGCAAGTTGAAAAAAGCTCCAAAAAGTAATCGTAAAGGATATCCAGATAGAAAAGGAAGCGTTTGGGTTCCTACAGGAGAAAATTCAGACAATCCTAATTCTCACGGCGGACCTCATTGGGATGTGGAACACCCAGATGGAAGTTATGACAATGTTTACCCAGATGGAAAAGTTAGACCAGGGAAGAGATGAAAAATTTATTTATATTTTTTTGGATAATAAATTTCCGTTCCGTCGATAAGTGGCACAATTGCTTCCTCTTCTATCTTAGTAGGATAATTTTTTTTTTCGAGTAATCGCTTCATTAAATTCTGCATCATAAAATAATGTTACGAGGATACTTCACTACTCTTTTTTTTTCACAACTTTCAAAAACCTTTCTTTTTCTCTTTGGTTTTTATTTCTCTATTTCAAAAATCCTCGATAAACTCAATATTTTGACCATTGGGGAAAATTAAAACAAAATACTCTTCTTCAAGGGATAATGGCAATTATCGGCTCCACCTATTATTTGGATATTCTTAGTCTTGTTTTTTATTCATTTTTATTTTTTTTATTTTTTAACAGTTGAATTATTTTTTTCTTTCCCTAATTCGGTTAAGGTCTTAGTGAAAGTTTTTTTTTAGTTGCAACTATTTTACTTTTTTTACCTTTTTCTGTCTTTTTGTAAGTTTATCGCGACTGTATGATTTTTAAATAAAAATCTAAGTTTAAAAATATAAAAAAGTCTATTGTAAAAGTGAAATAAAAATAAATTATTTAGTAAAAATTGATCGGAGTTGCTATTTGAGTCGGAAGATCGGAAAAATTCTTGTGTTCAGTTCGTTTTTTCTTAGATTGGAGTAATAGGTCGATAGGTTGGAAGAGGTAGTGCTAGGTTCGGAGAATTGAAGTTGGATGCTTTGGGGTCGGAGAAATTGGTTCGGATTTAAACTTCAATTTTTTGTTTTTTTTCTTTTTGTTAAATCTAATGTGCAGCGTGTGCTCGAGTGCACATCCATATTATAGAAAAGTTATAAAAGAAGTAGATTACTCTAATAAATGTGCATACGATGCATACGTGCGAATGTAAAATTTTGTATATACAAAAGAATGATGAAAATGTAAAAGTGGAGAAAAATACATTTATTTCAAAACATGAAAGTGTTGAAAACAATCAAATCTATGAGTAATCATGAATTATATAATTATTCTATTTACATTGATATAGTTAATGAAGAAAATATAATTATAAATGGTGGGATAAAAGGCGACGATTATAGCAAATCTATTAAAACCGTACCAGACCTAGCTGATTTAAATACTAAAACGAATCCATTAGAATGGGCCAAGCTGCAATCATCATCAAATGTTGGTGACATACCATTTACTTTTCATACTGCTAATTTAAAATTATATGATTGTGGCATTTGGCAAGTATTCCTTTTACGTAATACTAATACTTCCATTTTGACTTGAATAAATAAATAAATCACCTTACTCATACAAATGAATTAGCAAATATTATCAGTTCGAATGAAAATAAAATATACTTATTAGCTATCAGCAGCTATACTTTAGTTGTTAGATTTGAACCTAAAACTTTACCTAAACCTAATGTTATAATTGGTACAATAGGCGGATTGTTGGTACTGCAATTGTTATTATAATTCGATTTCATGGAAATAAATGTTATCAAATGACGAAACTAAATGAAATTGTAAGAATTCAACTATTAATAATATTTTAATTTTATATTATAATTCATCTAACAATTTTTATTCAAAACAAAATTTAGAAAAAGTAAACCATGTAATGTTGAAATTATTTTCTTTAATCAAATAATTGAACTTGCTTTTCCTTATATAAACAGATAATAATTTTTATATAACATTCAGGGGAGAACAAGACCGCTGATATTTTCTGTTCGTACACCTCAAGTTTATGATATCAAATAATTACCGACTGTTCTATTTAAAAAATTAATGTATTTATTTATTACAAGCGAAATAAATTTTTTGATTTGCAATTACATTAATATATTTTTTTGATTGTCATTATAAGTGAATTGTCTATTGATGGAATAATGTCATAAATTTAGTTGTATTTCAGGTATAAACGACAATTATTATTATGGACAGAAACTCTGATATCACAAAGAGTTTGCTTTTTTAGAAAACCTTTATCAAATGCTGAATTAATTGGTGTTGACTATTTATGTGCGTAATTAGTTTTCCACCAAAGATTTATTATAAGGTATAAGTATAAACTTTTAAACTGGGAATTATTATTTTTGTTTTTCTTTTTTTATTTCTTTTTTTATATTTCAGATTTACGATAAAATTTTTTCTGTGATGTATAAATACCAGCACATTCATGCGAACACTTAAAGTTAAAACTAAATATAAAGTGTTACTTTTATTTTTCATTTATAAATTTTTTTAAAATAAAAAAATCACAGATGGTCCGAAACTTTTAATTAATTATTTTCATAACTTCTAATTTTAGAGTATTATGTGATTTTCCGGTCATTTTGTTTGTTTTATATTAGCTAATAGACCATAAATATAAAGTACATATTATATATGGTATATAATATTAAGCAATATTCTCATTATTGGTTGGAGGGTTCCTTGGAACCCGATATTATTAGCAAAGTTCCCATATATTTGGATGAGAAGTGAAAATTCAACTTATTAGAGTTTCAGAACTCTTATATTTTGTAGGAATATATGCCTGAGTGGTTTAAATAATCTTTGTTTCTATCATAGGAATATTCATTCACCATTTACATGCAGTTCTAAGGTGCATGATTATACTTTCTTTAATGATCAATAAATCGACTTTCTATTTGACAAGAGAAAGTAATTAACTTCGATTATTGGACTTGAATTCGTTCTTGTTCAATCAATTTTTATAAATATATAAACAGATTTTTTTTTGATAATTATTATTTGGATAGTTTGTTAAATACGAATATATCTTGTTTTTTAATATTTTTTGAAATATAAAAATATTTATTAGCTAGTTTTCGTTGGTACGGTGAACATTTTTGTATAGATAATCATAAATTTAGTTGAGTTTAAATTATAGTAAGTATAATTAAATACTGATAATAATAAAATATCGAACTTTCTGTAAGTTAATTAATTATTCATAAAATTAAAATATAGAGTATTTTAACTGGATAAATTGTTATTTATATAATATTGATGTTCTTTACTTTCTAATCCTTCTAAAGTTTCAATGAGACATGATATTACCTTCTAATTCTTTTAATAACGTTTCTTAGCATCCGAAACTTGTGCTAAGGAATTGCAAATTTTTACGGAATGTCTTCTCATGCAACTTTCAAATTAGGCATGTTAAATTCTAAAACTCTTCAATATACTTTTATTGTTACCGTCAAATACAGACTTTGATTAACTTTTTAGATAATTTTATAATATTAATTAAAGTCTTCACAATAATGATTAAGTAAATAAAATGACCATTGCAAGAATACCGATCCTATACAAACAAGAAAAGGGAATACAAAAAATAATTATTATATATAATACTATATAAAATTTATTTTATTAATAATTAATAATATTAATTAATTTTTAATAAATATTTAATAATAAAATATTGCCTCATACACTATTTACAATATTCATCAGATTAACTAACAACAAATTTATTCTAACTCAGGCAACTATTTACTAATATGATTCTTCGTAGTTGATTATTATCGTCAAGTTTATATGGAGACACGATAAAGGGTTAAAAGGGTAAGATGGTATTTTATGAAACTTCAAGATTTCAGAGTTCTTTCAAGACTTGAAGTTATTATACAAAAATTCTAAATACTAACATTTTTTCATATAAAATAAATAATGCTAATATAATAGAATAATTAATAATACTAAAATAACACTGAAATAAAAATAACAATTACAATTAATCTATATAAATAAAAAATATTAAAAACGAAATGTAATATAATTATTTTGGTATAAATATTTTATAAAACATACATAATTGTCATAATAATTATTTTTGACATTTTTCGTAAATGCCGATTTCTTATAACACCAGATAATGGTAAATATTATATAGTCGTATGTTGGTTCCAATAAGAAAATAATTGCCCTCACAAATCAGAGTGCAATGGTATTTATTTAAAGTCATCCCTATGGCTGAAAAAATCCGTCTATATCATACATTATTGAGCAGCATGTTGAAAAAAATTTCCGAAGATTTTCAAATAGTATTTGTTTGGGCTTATATCATCTGACTCGAGTTCATTGTTGTAGCATTTCTTATAATGCTTAAGTTATATCTAACAATTTCGATAATAAATTTTTTCTAGTCGTTATCGTCGTCATTGATCGTCTTAATGCGCAGTAGATCGTACAAAATTATTACGATGTGTTTACTAGTACGCCAAACGTAGTTTTGGGCGCCTTAAATGTTCAGTAAAATTCCTAAACACTTTTTGACAAGCTCATAGCATTAAACTGGTTTCGAAATTTTGCGACCAACCGATTTTATTATTATCAAATTACACTAAAACTGGTTCCAACATTTAAATATGTGAAGATCGGCACTTCTAAAAATGTCGGTGTTTAATTTAAATTTTCTCAAAAAAAAAAAAAATTTCATATTACTTTATTTATTGAATTATGGCTTGCAATAAATATAATAAATTACTTAAATTCTGTTTCGTTTTCATATTAATTCATTTGTTCTTTAGAATTGAGTCATTCGCTTCTGTAGAACTTTATGCCCATTCATCTGTCCTTGTTGAAAATAAATTATATTTTTTTGGTGGAGAAAACGGAACAACTTGTACAAATAAAGTATTATTTCTAGATATAATTAATTCAGGACTTCCGTCATGGACCCATCTTACATTAAATTCAGAAATAGGTTTTAGAAGTTGTTGGGCGACTACTGTTGCAGTAAATGATAAGAATAATAGCCCAATCATATACCTTATCGGTGGTAGTATGCTTGATCAAAATAATTCTAAGGATGTATTTACTTCACTTGTACATACATTTAATCCAAAAAAACGGGAAATGGGATGTATCTATAATTACAGGAAAAAAGCCATCGAGAAGAGAAGATATTCAAGCCGTTTCTGATGGTTTTGGAAATATTTATGTTTTTGGAGGATCAACTGACAATTTAGGATATAAATTTGTTAGCTTTAATGATATGGTAAT